ATGCCGTCCACCTATCACCTGCAGCCAGAATGTTTGCGGCACAGGACCTACCCTTTCTGAAACCACGTTGTGCATCACTAAGTGCTCCCCTCTTTTATAAGTACTCCCTGACATGGTCGTCTACCAGACTCTCCGTTACTTTTGATACCACTGGTAGGAGGGCTATGGGTCGGTAGCATTCTGGGCTCTGCCCGTCTCCACCTTTGAAGATGGGGGACAGAATAGCACCTTTTCACTCTCGTGGAAGCATGTGATTGTCTAAGGAGTATTGAAACAAGTTACACAGCGGACCGCACAAGGCACCCGCACATTGTTTCAGCACAGCCGGTCGGATGTCATCACACCCTGGTGATTTCCCAAGCGGAGGTTTGACAGTTTTTCGAGGACCATGGCAGGAGTTACCCTTATTCCACGTAATCTACTGCGTTTGGTGGTGCCAAATTTCGGTCGGACAGTTGGTAATTTTGGTTTGGCAGGGACGTATTGAGTTGCGTATCGAAGGTGGCGCTAAGGGCTTCGGCGATCTCTAGTCCGGAGGGGTTCTCCCCATTTAGGCCTTTCAGGACTCAAGCCCCCTGGCTGGTGAATTTTCTGCCTGCCATAAACCGATATAGGTTTTTGGGATTTGCCCCGAGCTTTTGAGCAAGGTTCGTCTGGAATGACCTCCCGTCTCCCCTCACTCTAACGTTACATCGATTTCTTAGGGCAATATACGTGGTGTGGTCGGACACCTTTCTGGAGGTCCTCCACTTGTGCCATGCCTTCCTCTTGGCTTTCAAAAGGCGTTCATTGCCTCACTTCAACCATGAGGTTCGTTTCCGCGGTATTGCTGTGATTGCCGGGGCGTTTTCAGAGACAGCCCTCTTGATGATGTCTCTGCCTAGTTCCCAATGTTGGTCAATCGACAGGTTGCTCCACTCCTGGGGTCATGGTGCTGTCGACAGATATTGGTTCATTGCCACGTAGTTCGCTTTGTTGTAGCAAAGACAAGGGCGCGATGCCTCCGATGACAGTTGTCCGGACAGTATCAGATGGAACACTACCGCGCCATGATAGCTGCTGCCGAGGGGGTTGGAACCCGTACATTTCCTACCAGCGGTGGGTCACTGGTAAAAAGGTAGTCCGGTTTGGACGGCTTTCCGCCCGACCTCCAGCAAGTGTCATCACCAATATTCCCCTGCAGCCCAGCCTTTTGGATAGTGTTGAGTAGGTTTCGGTCGAACCTCTGGCTTGAGGTTCCGTCGTCCTGCCCAAGATTGAGAGTCGGAGCATTAAAGTCGCCGGCTATAATGACCTGGTCATATCTGATGGACGTCGCCCGGGACATTACTTGCAGCAGTTGTCGGTTGTCTTCCACGCTGCCAGTAGGTGTTCTGTAGTCGCCTCCTAGTGGGTACTTGGTGTGTTCAACCCTACGTTGGCACCAGATGGAGTCTGGGAGCCCTGAAAGTAGGGTTACAGTTGCTTGTTCACTTTTAAGGTTATCACATATAAGCATCGCCACTCCGCCTCCTTCCTTGAATTCCCTGTCTCTCCTGAACAGACGCATACCGTCTATACTAGTTTCGACGTCACTAGTGTCCGGTGATAACCGAGTTTCTGTCAGGATTATGATCGTTGGGGCAAGGTAGGAACAGAGAAATCGTAATTCCCCCATTTTACTTCCAAGTCCCCTCACATTACTGTAAAGACACTTGGCTATGTTTCTAACGACATGGGGTATCTTGGTGTTGGCAGACTGGAGGGAGTCGTGCGTAGTGGCGAAACTTGCTATAGGACGACCAGCTCCAGTGAGACCGGCCCAATCACGTTTTTCCCACAATGGTTTCTGGGGGTTTCATAGAGTCCAGGCTTGATTGTGCATCTTGTCTGTTGACAGTGATGGTGACTTCGGCAGTGGGCGGTGCTGCCATTTGCTGTTGTCGCAGTGTCTTGGGCCTGCTTTCACAGCAGCGAACATTCCCACTGATGTTATCTTTTACTGTGTACCAAGTTTGCAGTACGCTGGTTAAAAGTTCTTGACAGCCGAAGTTAATAGCCATCAACCGGGTGCCGTTGTCGTCGTCAAATGTGAGGGACATGGCGGTCTGCAGACCGCCGCCGCTGCTATCCCATCTAGCCCCACCCTCTCTGACAACCACTGCCATTGCTGGACGTCGTGAGCATACTTCTCTACGACTGTACCGGTTGTCAGTTCTGGTATGCCGTGGACAACCATAGTTGTTGGTTTAAGCGCTTGGGGCACCTCGGGAGATACTTTTCTTGCTGACCAAGGACGGTCTGGTCTGGCTCTAATGCTGGATGACCCGTTGATCACTAGTGTTGTGACATCAGCAAGAATCCTTCCGCTTCTTTAGCAGAGCTTAGGATAACTCTCATTGGCGGAGGCTTTCCCTGAGGTGAGTAGTTGCCTTTGTAGAGCCTGCACAGTTTTGCTTCTAGGCCACCCAGTCCTAGTGTGGTGCATACGGTTTCCCACTGCTGCTTGTCAAACGATTCTCCGTTCTCAAGGAGACTATCATGACACACAGGGACGTTAAACAAGATGATGGAGTTCTACCTGTCATCAGCTTCTCTATTTTCGTGTGCTGTGGGAAGGGTGCACCTTCTTTTCCACTACCACCCATTTTTCCCGTTGCACAGTGGGTTGAGCTTCTAAAGTGGCTTCAGGGTTAGGGACGAATGTAGTTGGTCGCGTACCCGGTCGTCGTTTTGGTCTTTTGGGACTATTCACCGGTGTGACCTGCCGGGTACAGTGCTGACACTCTTGCTGCTTGGGCCTAGGGTAGTGGTCTGTGTGGGTGCCGGCATCACAGTAGTCACTGCGATGTCTTTTACGACCTCCATCAGCGAGCCTTTAGAAGAGAGTGGCCTTATACAACACTGTGGGCAGATGTACCAGAACCACGTGCATAGGTAGCGCGCCATGAAGGTGTCATATTGGTCTGGTATGTCCTCGTCACACTGACTGTGCACCCACTTATTGCAGATGTTAAACTCAAGGGCAGCATCCCTGTTGGCCACGGTGAGACCACATGTATGACAGTCGTCAGCCTGACTAGAAGGTTTAGTTAACGACTTTCTTTTTCTTCTCTTTCATCTCTCAGTGGTGGCCTTCACAGGTAGACTAGGGTTTAGGCTGGTGGCACCAGAAAGACATGCTCGTTGATGAACCACAGCACAAAGGTTCACTGGGACAGGAATTCGACTTTTCCCAGGAGGTGGTTGTTGCAACTGTCCTCCCAAGGTCGACCCGTGATCTTTTGCGGCGGCACTAAGCTTTTTGCCTCTGGCTCTCGTTACTACCACTGATGGGAATGTATGTAGCTGGGGTGAGGCTTTGCCTGAGACGTTCCTGACACCAGATTTAGTTAGGAATCGATTACTACTCATTTCTAGTGGTGATTAAGGAGATGTAAATGAGATACACAGATGGTTGTACCAAGCGAAACGTAGGAAAGCAATGATAGATGAAGTAAGCTGTCAACCTTACCTAGGATTGCCAAGTTGTACGACACGGAAGAATGCCCAAAGCTTCCCACGGGTCCAAGGTATAAGATCGAATTAGATAAGTAGCTCTGCAGCTGCAGCAACCTGATCTATAGCAGTTGATCGAGGCAGTTAGACCTACCGCACAGTTGTCCTTTTGGAGGGTGATAGTATTGACCGACTGAAGGCTGTACGTCCTGTAGCAAAACGTTTTTCCAGTGAAATTGTAACTTTCGTAGAGGAAATATCCAATTGGGAAGGCTTATGTATAGTTATTTCCGAGTAGAATACAGACGAGACAAAACACATCAGTATTCAAAGAGCCTCTCCTTTTTCTAATATACATAAACGACTTGCCTCAACGGGTCTCTTCCAAAGTCCTTCTTTCTGCCGAGGACGTGAGACTCTGGAAGAAAATTAAAAGTGAAGAAGACAGTGTTTCTCTACAGGAAGACTTAACTCGACATCACAGTTGGGTAGTCAACAATGAGCTTGAATTTAATCCTGAGAAATGCAAGGTAATACACGTAAAATATGATGCATCTCGTGCATATAGCCTCAACGGCATGGAACTTGAAGCGTCACTGACGGAAAAGGATTTGGGAGTGTTGGTCCCCCAGGACTTAAAATCCTATGCCAACTGTGACAGAAACGCACCTCGTGGGAACTTGGCGTCGGTAACTCTTAGACGAATTTTCGGGCGATTCGATCGTAGATGCTCCCAGCAAAGTTTCAACAGCTTCATACGGCCTCAGCCGGAGTTCGGGACCATCGTCCTTCCCCCTTATCTCCAGAAGGACAAACTGAGCCTGGAACGCATCCAGAGGCGTTCGACAAAATCTGTTCAAGGACTCAGGTCTAAAACATTTGGTGAACGGCTGGTTGCGCTGGATCTGTATCCTCCGGAATACAGAAGGCTGAGAGGAGACTTGATAATGACCTACAACATTCTGAGCACGCCTGGCCACCCACCCGACACTTATTAAATCTTACCTGCAACGCTAATCTTAGAGGACATGCACAGAAACTAAGCCTGGGACGTAGTGAGCTGGATGTCAGGCACAACTTCTATTCCCCAAGAGTTGTAAAACACTGGAATGCTCTTCCTGAGGATGTGATCCAGGCTACTTCATCTGAATCTTTTAAACGCCGGCTGGGTACCCACTTGATGTGTGTCACATTTTAATCGCCACTTTTTCACCTTTCTTTACTTGTACAACAGGATAACAACCAAAAGGAGTAGTGATCCACGGACTGTGGACGCGGAAGCCAGTTAAGCGAAAGCTTCTTCTATTCCTTCAACAACCATTTGAACCATTTGAGCACCGACCTCCAAACGAGGAGAGCTTTCCCAATAATATGTAGCAACATTGATTACTCACAGCAACAGTATTCACAGGGATCAGCATACGTCATCTGACGTTTCATTCTTGTTTATGAAAATTCGAATTGTAAACTATTGGGCATTGAGAAGAGTCTGACGCGCAAGTAATAAAGTTTCCTCCACAAAGCATGGGTAAGAAAGTGAAAACAGGAAAGGCTAGGAAAGATAGGTTCTACTTCCTTGCCAAAGAGATAGGTAAATGCGTGTCATTAGTCTCTTATTTGATAATATTCAGGGTTCAGATCGAGAGCGGCATTTAAGTTGATTCAGTTAAACCGTCGCTTCAAATTTCTGAATTCGTCGAAAGTGTTAATTGACTTATGTGCTGCTCCTGGAGGTTGGCTGCAAGTAGCAGCCAAGGAAATGCCCGTTGCCAGTCACATTATTGGTGTCGATCTTGTACCCATTCTGCCTATCCCGAAAGTCAAGACGTTTATTGCTGATATAACTTCTGATAAATGCAAGCAGGTCCGTTCACACTTTACTTTTATGCTGTTAGATTTTAAGGAGTGAGCTAAATGGGTTGAAGGCAGATGTTGTTTTGCATGATGGTGCTCCGAATGTTGGAACTTCATGGTCCATTGATGAGTACGGTCAAGGTTTGCATTGCTTAACAACTTAACCCATACAGCTATTCTCTGTCTTAATTCATTTGCGATCGCCACCGATTTTCTGCGTAGAGGGGGTTGGTTTGTGACCAAAGTTTTCAGAAGTCGAGATTATGAACCACTTAAGTGGATACTATCTCAATTTTTCCGAACGGTTCGTGCAATGAAGCCTGAAGCTTCTCGACTTGAGTCAGCAGAAATCTTCCTTGTTGGGCAGTTTTATCTTGCTCCGGCGCGTATTGACCCTAAGTTCCTGGATGCGAAGCATGTTTTTGGTGAAGTTGATGCACCAAAAAACCGTGCTACTTTGGTATCGTCATTCTTGAGGGACAGTCGGAAGAAGTAGATCTACCTTTTACGGTCTTTCGTGGAGAAAATATCCAATTGGGAAGGCTTATATATAGTTATTTCCGAGTAGAGTACAGACGAGACAAAACACGTCAGTGTTCGAAGAGCGCGGGATGTCGTTCGATTGTATGGATACTGACTTATTCCTGAAATCATTGAAATAAGTTACCGTCGGTCAATAAAGCTACGAACATAAGAATTAGTGTTGAAATAGACGTTTATCCGACGAAACACGGTTTTGCAGATGGGTCTATGACGTCAACTACTCACAACGCAAAACACCGAATATTGCGCCATTTGATGCGAAAAAAAGAATTGTGAGTAGGAATGATTTAAACTCAGAACGATACGCATGTGCTGTAAAGCGGTATTTTCCTGCTATTTTCATGACATTTAGACACTTGATATCACGAGAGTGTTTAATGCCATCTCTCCGTACCATTCAAAACTGCTCAAACCTTCCGTTTCCCTGCAATTATCAATTTGATGATGCCTGTAAACTGACTTCTCTCATGTTGAATTCATAACCGGAGAATAAAGATATTTACTTGTTTATTTGGTACTTGATTCCGTTTCCAACGTAACAGCTTCTAGTAGAGTAACGTCGTTAGTGCAAGTACAACCAGGGAGCTGGGTTTGACTCAATGATATGCTATCCATGAGAGGAAAAAACAACGGTGAACCCGGAAATGCGTCTTAAGATGCTACAGATGATGATGTTCTCTGAGTCTAGAAGACCCTGTTGGCCCCATACCGAATGCTTTGACCTCTTTATGGTCCTCAGGCTGCAAAGGCACCTGATCCCTGGTTACCTTCCTTGACAAGTTGCGAGTGAGAACAGCATATGAGGCTGTGCCGAAGAACTGCAAAATCCAGGAAAACCATATGAACAGGGACCTGGAGGTTGCAGCATGTCGTCCAGTTGTCACCGACTGCAATGGAGTTTGGAGTGAAGGACTCACTCCTTCGGAAACGGCGCCAAGCGCCACTTAGTACTCTCATTTTACCCGAGCTCACTCTGACATGATCGCCTACCATATTCCTCACTAACTTTGATGGAACCTATAGAAGTGATATGAGTCGATAGCACATTGAGTTCTGCCTGCCTCCCTCCTTGAATAAAGGGGAGAGAATTGCATCCTTTCGCTCTCTCGGAAGTATGTGTTTGTCTAGGGAGTGGTGGAACAGGTTAATGACTGAACCACATAAGGCAGTCGCGCACTGTTGCAACATGGATGGTCATATGTCATCACACCCTGGTGATTGTCTTACGTGGGGCCTTGGCCGCTCTTTGAGGACCGTGGAAGAGGCGACCTTTATTCCATGAAACTTTTGTATTAGGCAGTGCCTAAGGTTGCATGGACAGTTGACAACTTTGGTTGGGCGATGGATGTTTGGTTGTGTGGAAGGTGGAGCTGCGGGTGTTGATCATCTCCAGTCAAGGGAGGTTTTTGACGTTTGGACGTTTAGTAATGCAAGCTAATTGCCTGGCAGTTTTTGGCTTCGCCATGGTCGCCGGAGCTCGCCTGAAGCCTGATGTGGAACGACCTTGCGTCCTTTTTTCATCCAGACGTCACATAGATTCCTTAGAGCCATACATACGCCACGGCCCGACTCATTCTTGGGAGGCCACTATTTATGCCATGCATTCAGTGGGCACTGAGCAGCTAGTTTATCTACAGGGCTTGCTCCTTGTGTATTGCTGGCACTACAGGTGTATTTTTAGAGGTAGCCACCTCAGTAGTGCTCCTTGCTACTTGATAGTGGTGGTCAGTCATTAAGGAACTCCACTCCTGGGCATCGTACCGTCGACAGGCTTTGGCTCATCGCCATTCAGTTTGTCTTGTTGTGGCAAAGGCTTGGGTAGGATTCCCCCCTATGACAGCTGTTCACTGACTTCCGGACCAATCCCTAAAATCCAGTAGTGGCTGCCACTGAGAAACGTGTGAACTCCCAGCTGACGGATCATCAGCAGTAAGGGGATAGTCCAGTTTTGATGACTCACTGTGCGCACAGCAAGCGTCACCGCGAGTCTTTTCAGATGGGCCAGCTTTTTCTATGGCTTTGACTGGGTTTTGGTTGAACATCGCTCCATCTCGCCCCAGCTTGAGAGTTGGGGTGCTAAGATCATCCGCTAAGATAATCTGATCATACCCTACAGCCAACAATGTGGATATTGCTTGTAGCAGTCGTCAGTCCTGTTTTCGGTTGCTGGCAGTTCAGCAGACACCCCGTTGCGGGTGCTCAAGGTTTTTGACTTTGAAGTGACACCAGACGCGTCACAGGAGCTCCATCAGTGCAGTTTCAATAGCTACTTCATCTTTCAAACGGTCGCTAATAAACGCAAACCTACCTCCTCCATCTTTGCGTTGTCTATCTCTGTTGTATGAACACTTACTGCACGTAGTCGCTCCAACCTGGCTAACAACCAAAGACAAATGAGCTTCTGCCGGGATTGCGATTTTCAGAATAGTAAAGAAACAGAGGGTTGGTTCAATCTCTTATCTCCAACCCCCCTGACGTAGCTGTAACGACACTTGGGGGTACTCCTCACGACGCAAGGTGTTTCAGTGGTGGAGGACTGTGAAGTGCAGTGTGTGGTGTTTGCCGGCGTTTGAGTGATTACTAAGGAATCATTCGTGGCCTCTTAGATGGGGTCTGCAGCCGGAAGTGGTCTCATTCAGCGCTGTGGACAGACGTACCAGGATCCTGTGTGTGAGTGGTCCATCATTAAGTCGTATCATTTGCATTTTATAACCTTCGCGTACCGGCAATGTACCCACTCGTTACAGATATTATGCGCGAATGCTGCGTCACATTCAGTCGTAGAAGGAGCCAGAAGAGAGGGTGGTGACTGGTATGCTGTGAGGGACGCGCGTCTGAATTTTCGGTCTACTGGCATGCCTGATCGTTTCACTATTTTATAGCCCAGGCTGCAGGCTAGGGTTCTCCGAGTCAGTCTTACGCCCCTTGGCTCAAGTTCCAAGCACTGCTGAGCAGGGGACGATCAGTAACTGTGGTGAAGTTACATCCGGGATACATTTAAGCCACATTTTACTAGCCAACTGCAGCTACGCTTGTCAGCATGTTTATGGAAAAAACAAATGGGGATAAAGTAAAAGCATGAGCCATTTAGTAGGTGGATAGTTCACGATTATTAAAAGTAAGTTATCGACTTTACCTCGGATTGTCTAGTTTGACGACTCTAATTATCGCCGTAAGGTAAACACAGGTTCTGAGTGTGTCCATGACTGGGATATTTGATAGTGCAGATGCAGCGACCTGAGACATGGCAGTCCGTTGAGGCAGCTCGCCTTTTACACAAGTGCCCGTTTGGAAAGTAGTGGTAATGACGACGTAAGGAATTTGCATCATGCAATTAATTTGTTTCAAACCGTTGGGTTAGAAGATGAAAGCCCTAAGTGAATAGCCGCAAGTATGGTTTGTTCAGAGCTGCATACAGAAAGCGACAATACTCAACGAGATTGCCCGTTTCAGTTGTCAACTCGACCCCAGCAGACATAAACATCGATAACTGGTTCGTTGTACTTATTTACTACTCAGTGGTAGAAGGGTATAAGCTTGTTGCTGGACAGAAAATGTGCATTTGTTAAAATGTGCCAACGAAAAAATTCTTTAACTTTGTAACCATGTGATGTGGAATCAGCAGGTCAACTTAACATGGCAGTATGCAGAAAGAAGCCAGTGTTACAGCATCTATATTCAGTTATTCAAGTACACAAAAGATATGAAGGTTGGAATCAGTGTCAAAAATCTTAGGCACACTGGCCTTTGCTTTTAATGTTATTTTAGCAGGTTTTCAATTTATCATCGCCATTCTTCTGCCCTGAATACTGTTTGGAAAGAGTCTTACTCAGGTAACAGCAGAATACCACGTCTGACCCACGGAATCAGGACAAGCTATGTTAACCACACTTTAGTGGTGAGACAGAAACATGCCCAGTAATGACAGGGCGGCTGGTAAAAGGTGGAGGCAGCGCTTTACACCAGCTTTTCGCCTGCAGCTCGCCAAATCCACATTAGAGAACTGGACTGGTTAGAGGATTTCATCTGGAGCTGCACGGAGCTGTCCTAGACTACAACTTGCTTCGTAGGAGTAATTTATCGGAAGCCATTGGGTGATGTACAGGATGGCGATCAAATAGCGGAGGTAATCAGCTGGTCTCCTAACATGGGTACGCATACACTAATTTAGATAGGCTGTGACCCTCAGTAGGTGTTCTATGGAGATCATAACTTTGGCAGGAATTATGGTTGGATCGAGGCCAGATTCTTCAGTCTGATGGAGAGACTGGGGTCTGCAGAAAATTCTGAGAACGGTGTGGTGGTAAATGGAATCTCAAGCTCCGTCTCGCCTAGTCTACATCTTCACGGGTGAGAAATCCTCATCTGAGAGACTAGCAATCCTGCCTCCTCTGGGCAGTAGTAAACGCCTGGCCACTGGGTTCCAGTGTATCTGCGGGGGCCTGTCGACGACTGACGCACAATAGACAGGCTGGAAGCAACAGTCGAATAGCTGAGCTCCTAGATGACCAGTATTTGGAAATCTTTTCGTCGTCGCCCACTTGCTCAGCAGTCTATGAATAGCCCATCAATGAAGTAGGACTTTCGGTCACTGATTTGGAGGTTAGGCCAGTACGGCTCAAACTCACTGCTGACAACAGACACCT